TGGAGGACGGCCCATGTCTAAGTGTAGCCAGGAAGCACACTTATCCCTCACACATGTAGACATCTTGTATACCAATCCTCGTGTTGGCTGTTATTTCCCATCTATCAAATATTCAAAGTAATAGTAGTTAATGCTCTTTTGGTCTTTTTCTTTGAGACAGAGCCTCACTATCTAGCCCTGGCTGGCCTGGTACTCCCTACATAGTTCAGGTTAGACTTGAACTCACAGAAATCCTGCCTTTGCCTCCCAAGTGCTGGGATTAAAGGCATGCAACACCATGCCCAGCCCTCCATTGAACTTGTTTTGTGTTAGTCCTAATCACTTGTGTAAAGAATGAAAGATCTCCAGCCTTTGAAACTGTTAGCACAACAAAATTAAACTTTCTATTGTTACCTCTCAGGGGATACAGCAGGTCATTCCATTTCCCACTGCTAATTCCATTTTGTTTTATAATTTTTTAACACTCATAAATTATATGTAATAATGGGTTTTACTGTGACATTTTCATATAAGAACATAGAATGTATTTTGATCCTGTTCACCTCCCATCACCCCTCTTGTTCCTTTCTCATTCTTGCTGATTCCCCCTCTCTTCCCAACTATCCCCCCTTCTACTCCCATGTCTTTATTTTTGTTTAGGTGACCCAACGCGTTTCATTAGGGTCACTTGCAGGAGCACAGGTACATGGGCACCTTACCAGTGGCTATGCCACTGAAGAAAATCTCGAACTGCTTACTGATCTTCAGGGAGGGGTGAGGCCTCATGAGCTCCTCCCTATTAGCTACGATTTAGGTGCCTATAAATCCTCAAGAAGGCGTGGGGCCTTGCATGAAGTTTTAAGCCCCACTTTGACTTTACCTAGATAGTGAAGCAAAGAGATATTATCCTGAGAATCAGTATGTTGCTGTGGTTGGCTCTGTGCATGCCCATGCTGGGCTAGTAGGCATTCATCGGGGAATTATGCTTCATTTGCATCATATGCATATGTAGATACATGTGCAGAATCTGCATGTATCTGTGCAAATGTTCTCCTCCCACCCCATCTATGCAGAGCCATCTCTCCAGCCACATGCAGATCAGTTTTAAGTCTTCAAAGTATAGCTGAGTTTTTATTTCTGATGGAAGAATTCCATGAGATTTGACTGCCTCCGGCCTGCAAAGTGATCAGCAAGTCAAATGATTTGTTTAACACTGTGCCACATTTAGTGGAGGAAGGAAAAGCCAAAAACTCTTTGACTTTTGCCCTCAACGTATCCTGGTGTTCTCTGAGGTCCAAGGCATGTACATGTTCAGTGTGTGACTTGACATGTGCCATTTTGCACGTCAGCGAGACAAACTGGGATATGCCTGAGAAGGGCTGAATGATGGAATAATTAGAACCCAGCAACAGCAGGGTGGATGGAGCGTCTGTACATGATAACTTGTTTGCTAATTGCCAGCACCAGATTTTCTGGATGATTAGGTGTTTGGTTTCTTCCAAGACCTTCTGTGCAAATGTAGACACATGGCCCCAGGCCTTCTAGAAAGCAGGTGGAGACAGGGCAGCGCCTGGGTGGATGGCAACTCTCCAGAGGCTGCCCCAGGGGCTGTGGGCAGGATGGAACCAACACCAACAGGTGGAAGGCTCGCCTGGCTGAGCCCCTGTATGAAGACACAGACTCCCCTGACTTTATGGAAGGAGGTGCCTTGTGCTGGGAGATTAACAAACCTGGGGGTGTTCAGCAAGCTAGTTGAAAAACCAAGTGCACTTCATTCTCTTTTCAAGAGCACTGGACTGTGAGTGTTAATAGGAATAGGAAATACTGTTCTTGTTTTGTTTTGTTCATTTCTTTGTTTTTACGCAATGTCTTATGTTGCCCAGCCTGACTTCAAAACCTCTATGTAGCTTGAGGATGACCTTGAACTTCTGATCATCTTGCCTCTACTTCCCAGTTGCTGGGATTTCACCATGACTGGTATAGGTGGTATTGGAGATAGAACCCATGACTTTGCAAATGCTAGGCAAGCACTCCACCAATTGAGCTATATCCCCAGTCCAAGATGAATTTTTAATAAATAGTTTTCATTATGATAAAGTATATATAACATAAAACTTTCCATTGAACCCATTTTTAAATGTATAGTTAATTGAGTGGTATGATTTACAGCCACACTGTTTTTCAGCCCTGTATCACTATTTATTTCCAAAACTTTTCATTGCACTAACCAGGAACTTTGGGCTCCTTAAGCAATAACTCCCCATCTAGCACCCAGTCACCTCTCATCTACTTTCTGTCTCTATGGATTTGCCTATTCTCCAGAGTTCATACCAGTGAAATTACGTAATATTTGTCCTTTCGCGTCCAGGTTATTTCCATGGTTTTCTGGCTTATTTGTGTTGTAGTATTTGTAAGGATGTCGTTCCTTTTTACATACCACTGTTCTGTTCCAGCACTACTCCCTTGTATCGAGTATAGCACATTCTGCTCACCCATGCCTCTGTTGGTGGACACGGGTTGTTTCTGCTTTCTAGTTATAATGCAAAACACCATAATGAGCATTTACCCACAATATCTCTGAGTCTATGTTCCATTCCATTTTTGGTTGATACCTGGTGGCAGCAGGACTGGATCATATGATAATTCTATGCTCGACTTTTGGAGGATCTGTCAAACTGTCTTCCACAGCAGCTGTACCATTTTACATTCTCACCAGCAGTACATAGAATTAAAATTTTCACTAGTTTTTCCTCTCCTTTTTTTAAAATTGTAATATCCTAGTGGGCACGAACTGGCATCTCATTGTGGTTTTGATCTGCATTTCTCTGACCGTTGTCTCCTAAACTTACTGACGAGCTAGTCGCACGTCTTCTCTTTAGAATTGTCTGCCTGCCCCTTGACCCAGCCAGATGTGTTTTTCCTCTTGCATTGTGTGTGTGTGCACCTGTCTGGCGGAGGCTGCAGCTGACAAGCCTCCTGGGGGAAGAGGAAGGCCATGAGCCCACAGACAAAGGGAGAAGACCTGCAGAGTCAAGGCTTCACACTTGCTCTGTCATGATTCATTTCACTCCTCAGCCTGTTCAGGATCCACTGGGATGATGCTGTTTTCCCACCAAGTAGGAAAAAGACAATTTTGTAAGAGCCTGGGATTCACACAAAGCGATTTAGCAGAAGAGGCAGATGGAGCTACCCCTCATATGCTCCCCCAGAGGGAGAGCCTTTCCCAGCTATCTCCAACTGCTTACTGCCTACATAGAATTAAGCCGAGTACTTAAACAAGCAGGCTTTGCAGAGCCACGCATGGCCTCTGGTGGTCAGTGTGCAGCATTTGTCTACTATCTCCCGGGTGGCAACTCCCAGCCTTTGCTTGGTTGTTTTGGGCCCTACCAGCCCTGGGCAGTGCGCATGAGGGTGCTGTGGGGCCTTCTAGCACTGACCAGGGATAGTGTGGTTTGTCCTTGGGAGCATCTTCCTGGGAGAGAAGGTTCCAGAATGAATGTCTGTATGTGAATGATTGTGATGGCTCTAGGGCAATGTGACATTTGTGCTGCTTCGCTATTGGTCCTTCTTCTCTTTGACTTAATGACCCTTGTGAGGACCCATTGCGGGGCCAGGGACGCTAACCCAGCTGCAGTTTTGCCTCTATTTTTCTATCATTATTATTATTATTTTATTTTACATGTGTGAGTGTATTGCCTGCATGTGTGTAAGTATACCCATGTCGTACAATGCCTGCAGAGGTCAGAAGAGGGCATCTAATCCCCTGGAACTGGAGTTAAAGATGGTTGTTAGCCACCATGCAGGTGCTGGGAAATGAACCCGGGTCCTCTGCAAAAGCAGCCAGTGCTCTTAACTGTTGAGCCACCTCTCCAGCCCCATATGCCATTATTTTTCTTACTCCATGTCTCAAACCTTCATTGTTCCTGAGGAGATGAGTTCACTGTGCTCTGGAGGGCCACATGCTAGAGGGAGTGGGAGGTGACGCACCGACCATCAGATGCTGTGTCTGGAAGTTGCACTCCTGTCTCACATTCTCCAGGACAGGAGTTGTTAACCTTAGGGTAGAGGGTATCCTGTGGGCTACAGATGCTCTTCCAGAAATTGCAAAAGCTAGCACATCCTTTTCAGTACTGTTGTGAGAATTTCTTCTCTGGAGAGACATTAAGAAAATCCACTCTACCCCAATCCCCATAATGTCCCAAGGACACTGTATGATTCCACCAGAGTTCAGCCTGGGGAACCAGTAAGTTTATTGGGCTTACTTTAACATGGGCAACAGATTGCCTACAGAAGTGTGGGTGACCCCAAAGCAGCCACACTGGAAAGTCCTCAACCAGCATGGATGAAGGCTCCCCCACAGCTGCATAAGTGGAGCCTGCTTGCGTTACGTTAACTTTCCCTAGCTTATATACTCTAGCACCTGCAGAGACCAGGAGCCACCAAGACCACATGTAGGTAGGGCAGAATTGCATCAACATGGCTGAGAGAAATCGCTGGAATTTCAGTGATCCTTCTCAGCCCCTCCCTCTGTGGGGGAATGCCAACAGTCAATAGACCTCATCAGGATGGCCTCTTGCAAGCAGGCACAGCTAATATGATGAAGATAGCACTGTTTTGCTCAGGGGTTCATGTTCTACAACAAATGCTTCAGGTTCCACTAGACCACTGTGGAGTCTTAGCTAAGAACTGGCTATAGGCAGGACTCAGCCAGGAGCAGAGGCCTTCTGGGAACATGAGCAGCATCTTCTGCTCAGCGGGGGTGGCACAGTGAAAGACCTGGTGACCACCTGGAGAAAAGGGGTAGAGACATCCATTTGGTCAAGTTCTAAAGACCAAATACAAGGGTATGCTGTCTTGGATGTGGTCATCCTGCCTTCCTGCCTGGGAAGTGGCCCTGCTCAGCATGTTAGTGGGCTTTCTAGAAGGCCCTGCTTGGAGGAACAAAACCACACAGGCCTCTCTTCTGCTCCTGGGCTGGTCCATATCACTTCCAAGGAACTGATTTTATCTTTTCTTTTCAGAATCAGCCCCTACATCTGCATATTCATCTCCAGCTCGAAGTCTTGGGGATACAGGGATAACGCCTCTGTCTCCTTCCCATATCTTGGTAAGAAATGATTTTGTGTGTGTGTGTGTGTGTGTGCGTGCGCGCACGAAGTGCTAACAGCCTTTGCTTTCTAGGTCTGTTTCTCCACTGGAGGTAGCCTTCAGATAGACTTCACTGAGAATACATTGATCTAGTAGTAGAACACAAGCCCTGCCAAGGCCCTTCCTCATCCTGGAAAAGCTTTCTGGGGTGTGGCTGTTTCCAGAGTCTTGGGCCTAGAGGGTAATGTGAGCAGGCAGGGCAGCAGCTTTGGAGAGGCTCAAGGTCTAGAAGCTGTGAGGCAGCCTCTCTTAAGGACATAGCCATTTCTGGTGGATGAATCAGTAAAGCACAGTGGCTCCGTCCACCGCAGTTATCTGCATGTCCAAGAGCCGGTGCTGGCTTACTGCTTCTTCCTCAACAGTCCCTGAAGAGATCTGCAGCGAGGGCCTGGGGGCTGAGCTGTTGCCCTTCCAGGCCTCAACTACAAGAAGAGATGGGTGGCAGGAACAGTTGCTCAAAATAAACTGCCGAAAGCAGAGGCCGCTCTGTACCAGCTCCTCAGATGACACAAAGAGCACATGGAAGCCACCGCTCAGCAGGGGGTGCTGATCCGTTTTTGTCCCAGAGCTCTCCCACTTTCACCCAGAAAGGGCTGCTTCCAGGAATCTCAGTCTTGCTTCTGGGAAATGCCCTCAGTCCTGGTCAGGCCCTAAGCATGATGGGAGGCTTGGTCACCAGAGAAGACTACACCTGAGGGTTCCTTAGGGGGGAGCATCGGGATGGTGGGGATGTGGTGGACAGAGAGGCCAGTGATAGTGTTCTTGTCCCTGTTTTAGACAGTGTATCCCCGTCCAAAATGTGTTGGGTTTATAATTCAGAGGTCTATGGGAGTTAAAAAAGAAGGAAAGGAGAAGTAAGTCTACGTTGCTTTAGAAAGGGGTTGGGGGTAGCTTGGACACCTGAGGTGGCCTGTTCAAGTGACCTGACAGATGAGGAACAGCTGTGGATGCTGAGGCCCCAGGGCGGGGGAAGGTCACATGACTAGCATGCACGATCAAGAAAGGTCACCATGTGTGCAGCTTGCCCATGGGAAGGAGATGCTGCACAGATGGAGTGGGCACTGGCATAGCGCTCAGGCCAGCCACAGAAGGTTTCCACGGGGCAGCAGAAGTCGGGAGATTATGTATTCAGGAAGCCACTCTACTGGGTTTCTGCCCCATGGTAGATTTCTGTAGTTAGCCACGTGTGCATAGCTGATGAATGGAGGTACCTGTAGGCAGCACCCTCCGTCAACCTGTACCCCGGTCAGGGGTGCCTTCATTTCTCTCTGAGCCTCTCAAGTGGGGGCTGAAGCCAGCCCTGTCCTCCCCCAGAGTTACTTGTGGCAGACTAGAGCAGGAATTGGGGGGAGTCTGCCTGTAGTGATTGCCAAACTGGGCCGAGTGGGAGTGTCTTCCTGCAGTCCAGGCCTGGCCCTTGCAGTGTCTCACTATATACCTGCAGAATGATGCTGACCCCGTCTCAGAACAGCAGACGTTTCTCGTGGTTGTGGCCATCGACTTTGGCACCACGTCCAGCGGTTACGCCTATAGTTTTACCAAGGAGCCAGAATGTATCCATGTGATGAGGTGAGTACTGTGGGGGGAGCGCATGCACCTGAGCTGGTCACTGCACCCATGCAGACTTGGGGTGGGACTAGTCACTGGTGCTTAGGAAGAAGACCTAGATTCTGGTTCAGCTCTGTCTAGACTCCTGTGACACTTTCTAACTTCCAGACTACAGGTTCCCATCTGTCAAAGCTTTGGTTAAATTCTGACCTCGTTGGTCTAGGCAGGGACTCTGCAGTATGACTGAATCCCAGCCAGGGTTATTCCAGGTATGGCCTGGTGAGAGGAGCCATGGTATCTGTGAGGAAGGGGGTTCAAGGGCCAGCTCAGCCACTTGCAATGTGGTCTCAGGCAATTATTGAACCTGTTAAGACTCTGTCAGCTCATCTTTGAGATGGGGATAAAGGCGATGCTTGCCTCGCTGTGGTTCTTGCAAATTAAATGAGATTTCCTATGGAGTAATCGACACATAAGAAAATGTAAGCATCAGGCTCTTCCATGTCCAGAAAATGCCAGTGAAGAACTCAAGGCAGAAAGCACAGGGCCAGCGGGAGCAAGAAGGGGTGAACCTCAGTCAGATGACCCCTAAAGGCAAAGTTGCCTTGGGACCTCCTGGGTCCTCTTGATGTCCATAGCAGCATGACAGTCCCTCACACTACTGTCCTGGGATCCAGTATCGGTGAGGACTCTGCTCTGTCTTGGTACCAATATCAGCTTTTCCCGTCTTGATATGTGACCTTCATGTAGGGTCTATAACCTCTCAAAGCTTTAGAAGCTCAAGATTTATCACCCAAATTTTCCAATTAGAGGATGGCTTAATATACACCATAATTAGCTTTGTGTTATCTGCAACGGAGTTAACTGTGGGATTTGATGATCATTCTTGGAGGAAGATTTCAGATGTTTTTCTAAACTGTCTCATGAAACACAAGTCATTGCAAAAGTGACTCACACCAAGCCTTGGCTTACTAACAACGTGCGGCAGGGTGTGTGTGGTCACACTTGGCTGAGGATAGCTATCAGTGTGGCCCAGCACAAGATCATAGACTTAAAGCACTGAGATGGGGTTTTTTGCAATATTTTTTTTGGTAACTCTATTGCAAAGTTCTCAAGTGTGAACTTGGTAGATGACAACATCGTTCTGCCATGTCAAAAGGTTGGACATGTCTTGTCAAAAGGTTGGACATGTCTCTTAAAAACCAGAGGCGGCTCAGCTCAAGATCCTTGATCTCAGAGGTTCCAGAGTTCCTTGAGTAATGGGGCTGGAGAAATGACTCAGTGGTTAAAGTGCTTGCGGTGTAAGTATGAAGATCAGAGTTCACTCATGTAAAAGCCAGACATGGCATCAAGCATCGTAACCCCAGGGCTAGGGGACAGAAACAGGCAGATCCCTGAAAGGAGCACTGACCAGCCAGTGCAGTGTAATTGGTGAGCTTCCTGTTCAATAAGAGGCACTCTCTCAAAAAATAAGGTGGAGAGTGACTGAGGAAAACACCTGATGTTCACCTTTGTCTCCCCCGACCCCCCCCCCAGGAACACATGAACATGTACATATATACCCCCTGACACACATACAAACGAAAAACAAAGGAAATGATGGAAAGCCAGTTTTGTATGTAAAAACATCATTTATTTATTATTAATTAATTAATTAATTGTGGGGGTGGGGGATAGGCATGCCAAGATACACCTGTGTGCCATGGCCTATGTGTGGAGGTCAGAAGATGCTTACAGGAACCAGTTCTCTCCTTCTATCATGTGGGTCCTGAGCAGGTGTCAGGTTGTTGGGTTGTCAGGCTTGGTCGCAAGCACCTTTATCTACCCATCAAGTCATCTTACTGGCCCAGTTCAGATCTTGAATCCTGTTGCCACATGGCCTTCAGAGCCCTACTGCCCCTGGGATTCCACTGCTGGGAACCAGACAAATGTCCCATGGGATGGAAAACCCCAATGGGAAAGAATACGAACCTGTTTGTCAGTTTTCTTGAAGGTGTTCCTGAGAAGTGCTGTTTGCTCAGGATGGTCAGGCAATGAAAGTAGACAAGGAGTAAAAGTCACTTTGAACTTGCCCAGAAACACTGGAGATGCCATCCTAATTACCTCAGAGACTCTGTAGGAAGGATGGCACTTCTTGAGTTTTCTTACAGTCAGAGCATGTTCACACTACCAGATTCAGCCTGCCAAAGGCATAGATGAAGTCTGCATTGAAATAGGAATGAACGAATAAAGCTTTGAAGGGAAGAGACTCCTGGAGTATCCATTAGCAAAACAGCACCGTACAGAGCTGCCTGGCCTAAGGATCACTCAGGCTCCATTCGATCACCTGGGGGACTTAGCCTGTGGGGTAGCCTGCATTCTGACTGGGAAGCTGGCCAGGGATGATTACAGAGCCATCTGAGTGGCAAATTCCTCTGGAGGTTGGCGTCCATCTGTACTGTGATGACTTTCTCATGTTTACGCTGTGATACTCACAGGAGCAGATTGGAGCTCAAGCCAGGGTGGCCTCCACGCCCTCTCCTGTTGGGCTAGCCAGTGTCTCATCATCCCTGGCATTAGGGATGTTCCTAGGTCTAGGCCTGGCAGGGAAGGGAACAATCTGGGCTCTTGGCAGCCCGGCTCCCTAGGAGGAAGCACCAGCACCCAGCCCACCACTCCCTGTTTCCCCGGCTTCTGTCTTTCCTTCTATCCAAGAAGGAAGCCTCTCAGAGTTAAACTGATCCTTGCTCCATTGCTTATGTCTGTGTCTGTCTACCTATGCCCTCCTCTGCCTCTGCCTACTTTTGGTTCCTCCTCAGTTTGCAGCTGTACAGTCCTGGATGCTCCCTCAGTGTTCCAGCCCATCTTGCCACTGTGGCTGTCATCAGGCTATGGAGGCACTCAGGTCCTGTCCTGCCAGGACCTCTTTCTGGAACTCTGGGCTTGTGTCTTGCTCCTGTCCATTTAGTGCTCAGCTGAAGCCCCTCACATTCCCCAGCAGCCTCTCCCTCCTTAGGGCTCTTGGCCACATATCCATGTTCTTCTCAACGGGCTTTTTCAGCTCTCGGGTCCCCAGGCACCTGCTCATCACCACACCCATTGGCTGCCTTCTCCCTCTGGACCTACTTGGTGTTCTTTCTTCCCCACCCTTCTCTTCCTGTATATCTCTGAGCTCTGTTCCCGAGCTAGGCCTGACCTCTACATCTGCCTCTTGGCTGCCTATCCTTTGAATCTAGTTTGTTCTCGTATCAGTAGCTCTGATTCTGTCATGCTCCATCTCTTAGACCTTCAGTGGCTCCCTATTATCCACAGAGTAAATATCCACGCTTTGTCTAACCGACGCTATTAAGAACCTGGCTCTTGCACTGTTCTACTTTGTTTCTCCATTGCTGTGACAAAACACTCTGACCAATACCAACTTGGGGAGGAAAGGGTTTATTTGGCTTACATCTCCCAGGTCACAGTTCATCAGGGAGCCCAAGGTAGGAACTCAGGGCAGAAATCTGGAGGCAGGAGCTGGAGCACAGGCCATGGAGGAACACTGCTTACTGGCTTGCTCCCCTGGCCCCAACTCAACCTGCTTTCTTATATAGCACTGGCCCATCTTCCCAGGGGTGGCACCACCACAGTAGACTGGGCCCTCTGGCATCACTCAGTAATCAAGAAGATGCCCTACAGACATGGCCACAGGGCAGTCCAATGAAGGCAATTCCCCAGTTGAGGCTCCCTCAACACAGGTGTGTCAAGTTGACACTAAAGCATCCAGCAAATGCCCCTTCCATTTTTCTTTTTCTTTTCTTTTCTTCTTCTTTTTTTTTTTTGGTCTTTTTGAGACAGGGTCTCCCTGTAGCCCCAGCTGTCCTGGAACTCACTATGTAGACCAGGCTGGCCTTGAACTCACAGAGATCCTCCTACCTCTGCCTCCTGGAGTGCTGAGATTAAAAGCGTGCACCACCACGCCCAGCGCTCCATTTTTCTTTTTAACTGAGACGTGCCTATGGCTGCCACTCAGTCAGCTGACCCTGAGGGAGCCTGAGCACCCACATCTGTGACAGCCATGCACATAGCAAGCACTCAGCCGCACTCAGCTCCACTTGGCTTCCCAGACTGTGATTTCCAAAGATATGTAACCTTAAACTTCCACCTTTCCTTGGTGACAGGCGATGGGAGGGAGGCGACCCTGGTGTGTCCAATCAGAAGACCCCAACCACCATCTTGCTGACACCCGAGAGGAAGTTCCACAGCTTTGGGTACGCAGCCAGAGACTTCTACCATGACCTGGATCCCAATGAGGCAAAGCAGTGGCTGTACCTGGAGAAGTTCAAGATGAAGCTACATACCACAGGGGTGAGCGGCCTCTCCTGAGGGCTTGAAGGGCCTCCAGCTTGGGAGGGGCTACAACCTGGGGCCCCGGTTTCTCCCAAGTAGAAATGAATAGCCATCTAACTTGATCCTAGAAACAGCCCGAAGTACACAACCCCTTAAGGCCCCTTGGTGAACTCAGTGTGCTTCCTGGAGTGCACGTGGGCAGGAGGTGCTTGATTTGATTGTCCAGGGAACTGGCTAAAGGGGATTCTGGTGGTAGCATAGGGGTAGAGTACTGCCCTTTGCTGTTCTAGGAATGTTAGGTTGTTGGGAGATAAGGGGATATTCTACCCATTGGAAGCAACTCGAGACTGAGGACACTGGGGGACTCAGGGTTGCGGCTACTAACCAGTCAGTTTGGAAATAACAACCGGTAACAGACAGGTCGCCCTCTGTGTGTGGAGTAGGGAGTTAAGTCCATCAAGAGGCACAGTCATTAGAGGTCTGAATGTCAGAGTAGTGGCCTCACTTTTAAAACTCTGAGCGTGTCAGTGTTCCGTGAGATGTCTCAGTGATATAACAAACTCCTCTTCAAAGCTTCATGGGAAAGGTGGGGCCTAGATGGAATATTTTCAATGTAAGCAAATATTTTACCCCCAAACTATCTTCAACACTGGGTACCAAGAGACACAGATGATGATAACGTTAAGGACCATGAACACTGGCCTGATGGGCTAGGTTTCAACTACACCTCTGGTTCTTCAAGGCACTTAATCCAAGTCACTTGACTTTACCTCATTGTACCTCATCTGTAATGGAGACAGAGACAGCATCTTGCTCATGAGGGGCGTGTAAGGATGAAAATGATGGAAATCCACAAAGTTCCCAGAGCTGTGGAGAATTTGCAGATGATGATCCACAGATTAGTGAGAAGGCCAGCCACCCTCCCCCAGCCTTCCAGGGCTCTCATGCTTATGTGAGGTTGCCTGTCTTTGCTGTGGACCAACCTCAGCTGGAAGGGGATGATCCTGTATCTCCTGATGGGACTCTACCCACACACAGTGGTAACACTGGGCTTTCTTTCAACTCAGAGCTACAGCTTCCTAGGGCTCAGTGAACTTCTCGAACCTGGAAGTCTAGAAGTTGGATACCTTTGCTGGGCCTTAGGAGAAGAGGGGTGCTAGCTGGGAGCAATGAGCATGTGAAGATGGTTCAGGACATGCATGATGCTTCCACAAGGCCCTGTTAATGATTTGTGGCCCTGTCTCACCCCGGAGTCAAAGTCTGCTTATTGAGCCTGCATCAATCTGAGGTCCCACTGTTTGTTTTTCCTGGCACTAATGGGCATGTTAGTCAGGGGCTTCCTCACTCTCCACCCATCCTCCACCCCTCACAGACCCTGCTCATCGTGTTTAATGACCTCTATCCACCCAGCATCTGGCCTCTGTATGGTATCCTCCATCTGAGGACCAGGGCAGCAGCTGCTTTGGCTTCTGGCAGAGCAAGAGAGGCAGTGATGCTCCCAGCAGATTAGACAGGGCTGGCCTTAAAATAGGAGCTCTTCTATTTTTGTGACTTTGTTGGCAGCTCACCAGGGAATGAAAGCTTCGTGTGTGTTAGCATCCTGCTTGGCAGTGAATTGGCATGATTTAAGCCTCTATCAGAAGGCTCCTGATGGTGACCCACGTGTGGAAGTTGTATGTGAATTGCACTGGGCTTGGCACCTGCTTCCTATTTGTTCTTCCCAGGACCTGCTGGGGCCCTGAAACTCCTGCTCCTCAGGAACCAGGAGAGGGAGAGAGAAAGGAAGGGAGGGAAGGAGGGAGGGAGCAGCCAGAGCTCTTATGCCAGGTCCTGTTAGAAGGGCTTATCATTGCTCCTGCCTCTCCAAACATAGAGGACACACACAGCTCCCTAGGATCTCCCTGCTCCGAGCAGCAGTCTCCTCTACCAAAAGCTTGGCTCCTCTCCACCCATACCATTCTCTCTCCTCTTCCTACCAGGACCTCACCATGGAAACAGACCTGACTGCAGCAAATGGCAAGAAAGTCAAAGCCTTGGAAATCTTCACATATGCCCTGCAGCACTTTAAGGAGCAGGCGCTGAAGGTGGGACTGAGGGCTGGGGTAGTCAGCTCTATGTTAGGCCATCTGTGGGTCACTGTACCTGCCAGCTAGGAGAAGGTATAGCCAGCAGGGAGAGAGTATGGGCTCTGAGGTCAGAACAGCAGGATATGCTCTGGATACTGCTGGTGGGAAGGCGAAATGGTGTAGCCATTTTGGAAAACAATTTGGCAGTCCCTAAAAACCATAAACACAGACATATGACCCAGAAATTCCACTCCTAGGTGCATATCTAAGGGAAATGAAAACATGTTCATATAAAACTATATATATATATATTACTGTTCATAGCAGCATTATTCATAGTAACTAAAAAGTGGAAACAACTCACATGCCCATCAACTGATGGCAAACCAAGATATGGATATCTATTCAATGGAATATTACTCAGTCAAAAAAAGGAATGAATACTGTTTCATGCTATAGTTTGAATAAACCTTGGGAATATCATGTAAAGTAAAAAAATAAAACAGCATATAAACCCCCACACATCATACAATTCCATTTGTATGAAATATCCAGAAGACGCAAATTCACCAAGGCACTAATACAGATTAGTGGCTGCCAGGAGCTAGGGGAATGGGAGTGAGGAGGGCCTTCTAAAGGAAAAGGATGATCAAATAGACGGTGGGTTGATCGTGTGACCTGAATGTACTAAAACTCACTGAATTAAACACATATAAAGAACACATGTGTATTATATTACTGCTTAAAAAAGAAAATGATAAGAGACAAAACACGATATACACAGGCAAGATATTTAATCCCAAACCAGATGTGGTGGTGCACACTTTTAATCCCAGCACTCAGGAGGCAGAGGCAGGAGGGTCTCTGTGAGTACAAGGCCAGCTTGGTCTACAGAGTGAGTTCCAGGCCAGCCAGGGCTATATAGTTTCAAAAGGGGATGGGGGGTGGGGAGGGGCTGGAGAGATGATTCAGAGGTTAAGAGCACTTGCTGCTCATCTAGAAGTTTGGTTCCCAGCACCCATGTCCAGTGACTCATAGCCACCTCTAAGTCCAGCTCCAGGAGATCCAATGCCCTTTTCTACCTTCTGTGGATGCTGCACATGTGAAACACACACACACACACACACACACACACACACACATACACACAACAAAGAGAGAGGAGAGAGAGAGAGAGAGAGAGAGAGAGAGAGAGAGAGAGAGAGAGAGAGAAACACACACTTTTTTTTGTTTGTGTTTCGTTCCTGACTTGATGGGTAGAATCCCGTGGGTAGAAGCTGTCGCGGACTGACAGGGAACTGTACAGGGGCTGACCAGGAATAGGAAACACGAGGGTTCTGAGAGAAAGAGGCTTTGCCTGCCAGACCAGAGTAATTTCTTCCTGTATCTGTCAGGTGGAGTGTCTGAGAAGTCACACACCTGTGAAGTGGGACATTCCTAAAGGAGACCAGGAAGCAGCCTGAGATGAAGGGCTCTTGTTGCTGGGTTGCTGCCCTTCCACCCCCATCCCCACCCCACCCCAGCACAGCCAGCAGCTCCTCTCACCTCCAGGCAGTCCAAGGAGGCCCTTTCCTCACATCCAGAGCCCTCTTTTTGTTTAAAGAGTTAAAATTAGCCTCTTGATAGTTAGCATTGTGCTTAGAACCTTCCTGACACCTGTCAGCCCCATCACCTGCTTTTCACAGCCCCATGCTGACCTGTAGAGAACAAATACAAATAACAATGTTTTTTTTTTTTTTTAAAGGCTTCTTACTTCAGGCCCAAGAGAGAAGTTAATTTAAAAAAATACTTTTTATTATTGGTGGGGGAGAGAGAGAGAGAGAGAGAGAGGAGAGAGAGAGAGGTAGGTGGGGGGGTACACGTGGGGCTTGGAAGACAACTTCATGGATTAGGCTCTCCCTTTCCACCTTTAAGTGGGTTCCAGGAATCAGAACAGGTCGTTCTGAAAAAAAAAGGTGCACAGATCAAAGAGGAAGTTAGTTCAGTGGGCCAGTGGGTTGGACCCAAGGTAGCTATTTGCAACAATAGCAAAAGTCAGGAAGATCACTTAAGAAAAAAAAAGGAGAGGGGACTAGAGAGGGCTCAGCGATTAAGAGTGCTGACTCCTCTTGTAGAGGACCTGGGTTCCTTTCCCAGCACCTACATGGTGGCTAACAACTTTCTCTAACTCCGGTTCCAGGTGATTTGACACCTCTTGTGACTTTCACAGACATTGCACAACATGGGTGCACTTACATACATGCAGGCAATGCACTCATACACACAAAAAAGTAAATAATAAATAAATAAATAAGCCAAGAAAGAAGCCTACTAATCTTATGTCCCCAGAGCTGGCTTTGGCACAGCAGCCTTGGCGTATGTTTGGGTTTGAGTTCATATTTGTTTGGTGAACACGGAAATGGTTAGGAAAGGAAGGTGCTAACATTTATTAGAGGCTGTTCTTGGCCCAGACAGTCCCTGTGTGCCTCATTTAATTTCACCAATAATGCTGTGGGTTCATTTTATTATTCCTATTTTACTGATAGCAATACTAAACCTGAGAACTGCTTACCCAAATATTTTGGTTACATGGACTAGGTGGGAAGCCCTAGGAGGCATGTCCAACCTGTGGTACACAGCCAAACATAGCTGTGAATACCACCCAACATAAAATCATAAACTTCCTTAAAACATTGTGACATTTTTTGTGATTAAAATATTTATTATTATTTTGTGTATGATGTATGTGGTGGGGGGCATGTGCCACATTGTGACATGCATGTAGAGGTCAGAGGACAGCTTTGTGGAGTAATTTCTCTCCTTCCATCTCTATGTGGAACTCAGGTACCCAGGCTTATATGGCAAGTACCTTTACCTACCAATCCATCTCATCAGTCTGCAATGTGTTTTAAAAAAATATTTTATTTACTATTTTTATTTTATCTTATGTGAATAAGTGTATTGCCTGCTTGTCTGTAAGTGCACCCTTGTTGTGCAGTGACCATGGGATCAGTAGAGGGTGTCAGGTTCCCCTGGAACTAGAGTTACAGATGGTTGTTAGCCACCATGTGGATGCTGAGAATTGAACCTGGATCCTCTGCAAGGGCAGTCAGTACTCTTAACGGCTGAGCTATCTCTCTAGCTCCTGCAATTTTTCTTTATAATTCAATTTTGAGTATGAACTTTATAGATGACAACGTCATGATGAAATGTCAAAAGATTGGCCATGCTGGCCACTTCACCCATCTATCCCATTTATTTTTGTGTGTCCCACTGACTTGGATTAACATAAAAATCTAAAGGCAACGTATTCCTGGTTAGGTCATGATGCTTGTCTGTATCTACTGACTTGGATTAACATAAACAAAAATCTAAAGGCAACGTATTCCTGGTTAGGTCATGATGCTTGTCTGTATCTTTCCTGTCCTGTCAGGAAAATCCCCTTGAGATGCTAGGCTTGTGCCAAGGTGGATGATAGTAACAATAACCTCATAGTAACAATAACCACGAGTGAGAAGGGTTAGGGGGGGTGGCAGCCACCAGTTAACTGTTACTGTTCTAGACATAATACTATAGGTGACCCTTTAGTTAGGGCCTTGGCCTTTAGGGTGGAGACAGACGTAGGTGTGGGGCCAGCTGAAATGGTCAGAACCTGATATGTCTGTGTGTTTGAACACTGCTCTATTAAGTAGGCACACTTAGCATTTCTTCCCATCTGGATTCTTGAACAGGTCAATAGATACAAAATATGCCTGGTCCTCAAAGGGTTGGCACATAGTAGGCTCTCAGTAAACACAGCTCTCAATCCTCTCTACAGCCTTATGTGCTAAGCTGTATTGTCCTCAGTGTACATGTGGAAACTGAGGCCCAAGAGCTTGTCACTTGTCCAAGGTCCCATGACTGAGGTGGTTTAAGGGCGTTCCCTCTAACCCACCTTCCCCTCTGGAGTAGCAGTCAGTGAGTGAGAAGGGCCAGAGCCCCCTGCCTGCTGAATATTCTGAAAACAGCCTCCTGCCCCTACTCTGTATAGGAGTTCAGACTACAGGCTCAGGAGTTTGTGGTTGCTCAGCAGAGCCACAGGATTGTGCCCTGGGGACCAGCATTACTGCTCCACCCTCTGCATTTATTCTTCTTGGCCTTAGGAGCTGGGTGACCAGGCCGGGTCAGACTTCGAGAACTCAGATGTCAGATGGGTCATCACAGTGCCTGCCATCTGGAAACAGCCTGCGAAGCAGTTCATGAGAGAGGCTGCTTACCAGGTAAGGGGTGTTGAAATGGGAAGGGACTGGAAGAAAAGAAGCCCAGAGGCCCACAGTGGTGACTACCCTGTTTAGGTATCTCCCGGACACTCACAGGCTTCCTAAGGAGGCTCCCAAAGCTGGCAACACATAGCTCAGTGGTAGAGTGCTAGCCTAGCATGCACAAGGCCCTGGGTTCAAATCCCCAGTACCACCGAAGGAAAACCAATTTGTACCTAAGGCAATTCCCATGGGAAGGGACTAGGGACAAAAGTGCCTCCTATGCCTCAGCTGCGGGAGAAACAGGGGGAGTCTGACAGGGGTTAGTCTCCATTTTCTTTCTGAATTTCTATGTGTTTGGGTCCTGTGTCCACTGTAAATTTTCTGGGATGGGATTGTAAGTTGGGGTTCAAGACACTTCTCATGGGTGAAGGAAAATGAGAAACTTCAGGAAAAGTCTTGGGGAGACAAAAATATTTGAATAAAGAAATAAAGGAAAGGGTATTAGCTACGGCCCAAGCATTTCAGCTTGGCCTAGAGGCTGAAAACAGCCCATCTACAGCTGGGAAATCTGGAGAATGAAATTGGCCTCTGCACACTTGCCTGTCAGAGCTACACAGGAGCATGCAGGCTCTCAGAGATGGGGAAGGGCTGCCATTCTGAAAGCTGGTAGGCTTGTACTGAAAGCCGTGGTATGGCTATATGGTATGCCAGTCAGCCTCAGCAGCAGGGCCTTTCAGTATTTGGTGACCAGCCATCAAGGAGCCACCAATGCCATAAACCCTCCTGGCCTCTGATGGCTGATTTGGCTGTCAACTGGATGTGCTCTAGAATCACCTGAGACAAAGTTCTGAGCATGTCTGTTAGGGAATTTCTGGGCATAACTGGGGTAGGAAAACCTACTTTAACTGCAAAGGAGAAAGGAAGGTTGGAAAGATGGCTCAATGGTTAAGAGCATTGGCTGCTCATCCAGAAGACCTAGGTTCCATTCTCAACACCCATGGGGTGACTAAGAACCCTTAATAACTCCAGTTCTAGGGGATCTGATGCCCTCTTCTGGCTTTTATGGACACTGCACAGCGGCCATGCACTTACTGTATGCTGACGACCAGCATTCATTACTCTCTGCTTTCTGACAGAGGATACAGTGTGGCCAGCCACCTCATGCTCCTGCCACAGTGCCTTCCCAACCATAATGGACTGTACCCTCTCACTGTGAGCCAAAATAAACCCTTCCATTCTTAAGTTACTTTTGTTAGATACTTTGTTGCAGTGAGGAGGAAAGTAACTATACAGCCTCCAACTGCTGGTCTGCCGCCTGTACCAACAGTCTTTCATTACAGTGTGAATTTATGGCAGTAGAGCTGGCCATGTTAGGCTGGTAGCCCTGTCCCCCAGGGCAAAGCTAGTTTTTGTTGGGCTATGCCTTCCAGGTTTACAAACACCTATCTGGGGCCTGGAGCAACACTGTGCTAATTTTTAGTCTTCAACCTCAGTCCCCGCTAGGGCAGGCATATCCACAGGGCAATAGATATCCCCTTCTCTCTCTGTCACACCTCTCAAGAGACATCTTACCCACCTTTCCCAGCAGGTACACCTCTGCCATCAAGTTAGTAGCCAGATCTATGAGCCTTTCCTTCCAAAAGAATTGCAGAATCAACCCAGAGCCCCAGTGTATGGTCGAGTGGCCCTGGGAGTTTGCACATCATGCGCTCTGTTCAGTGCTCAGGCCTTTACCCCAAGCAGCTTGCAGAGCTCAGCTTGCACAAGGTCAGGGGTGGGGAAGTATCCCTCCCCTCACTGTCTTCCCTTTCCTGGACCGTTTCCTGTGCTCTCCCTTTCCTCCACTCAGCGTGAGAATCTGACTCTGTGTATGGATCTGCCAAAAATAGATGTGTTTTTATAGGAATGAAGGAAGAGGGTGCAAGTTCCAGAAAAAGGAGATTTCTTTAAGAAGAGAAGTAAGGAAGAAAATTTTAGCTGCTCACAGGAGCCCTGGGCATCACAGAGCTTTATGCATGGTCTCATCCTTCAGGGGTGTCCAAAGATGGGACACTGGGACACGGTCATCTGCAGATACTACCCAGTACTCTGAGCTATTCCCAGGAAGGGTATGTAAGATTCATGGCCTTAGGTCACATTTCCCAGCCCACAGGAAGACCTCAGGAACAAACGTGTGACCCATAAAGGGGTCAATTCTTATTTTTAGCCTGAAAAAAGAAGGCGGTGTGGTGACTGCTCAGTTTGTTAGGCTGTGGAGCCCTGGATTGGCTCTTCCTAGGAAGGAGTCTCTGAGTGGGTAGGACAAGGAGTGTGGCCCCATCCTAGGAAGTCTGGGGAGGAAACCAGCTAGGGGAGGGCATGATATTCTCGGCTTTGTGGAATAAAAATGTCCCCACACCAGGCATCGTGGCTCATCCCTGTAATCCCAACACTTGGAAGGCGGAGGCAGAAGGATTATATCTGAGGACACCTAGGGACAGATGTGACGTGGTTTGCTCAGAGACGTGCAGACACGGGGACTGTCTTCCAGGGGCAGGATAGGTTTTCCTTTGCTAGTGTTTCTGCAGCTTAGGTCTGATCCTTTGTAGTTCTGCTTTGGTACTTACTGTTTATGTTCAGTTCACTTGACTGAGTGGATTTAAAATGACAGCATCATTTAGCCAGTCTGTACATTTACTCATTTCTTCGTGAGGCCACTGCGCTGGGGCCCCTGTGTGCCAGGGCTCTGAGAGGCACTGGATTCATTAGCCCAGTCAAGTCAGAGTCCTGCCCTCAGGGTACCCATGAGTCAAGTGGTTCAGAGTTTGGAAGTTACAGGGGTGCTAATGGGTCATGGCTGCTCTATGGTCTCTTCAGCTTGCCTTCTGGAGAGTTCTAGGAAGAAGGGAAGTGCATACAGCACACCACATCTCTCCACCACACTCCTGCTGCCTTTGTTGGACAGTCTAATTCTGTGAAGGTCAATTTTGTGGGTTGGGTTGGCTTCAACCCAGAGTTTGGGTTAAAATTGTTTTAGGAGTTCCTTTAAAGGGCTTTGGATGAGTTCAACATTTAATTAGAGTAAAGCAGCTGCCTCCCTCAGGAGGCCGGGCCTCCTCTAGTCAACTGAAGTCCCAAATGGGCCAGAGAGCCGACCCTCCCCTCTGCCTGCCTTTGAGCTGGGCATGGCTGCCTTTCTTCCCTTTGGAATCAGACAGAAACATCGTCTATTCCTGGGTCTTGAACCTGTGGCCTTAGGACAGGAGCTACACAGCTGGATCTCCTAGCTTCCAGCTGTAGATCTTGGGATTTGTCAGCACTGTAATTGTGAGTCAACTCCTATAATGAATTTCTTTATAGGTATCTGAGTATCCTTCTAGAAGTGTTTCTCTAGAGAACCCTGGCTGAGCAAAATCCTGTTCTGAGCCGGTTATTGTCTAAGACTCCTCATGGGGTGCCCATCTCCATGAAAAGAATTGTATCAGGTGGATATTTGCTTCCTCCTACAAGGTGGTGACTAATCACCAGCCCTCCACCCAGAGTGACTTCATAATGAAACAGAGCTGGGTGCCACCAGGACACTGGTAAACTGGATATGCCCATTCTGCTTGGGTGTGAAACATGGGGCCCTTCCTTCAGGCTTGTGGCAGGTTTCCTGGGCACAGGTTCACAGCACAGTCACCTGTCAGGGGGAGGGAAGGAGGCCTGAAGCCAGCAGAGCTGGGGTGATCTCTACATAACAGCCTCTAGTCCAGACCAGGTCCAGGGCCTCTGATGATGGTTGCAGAGCTGTGCACATGGATGCATCTCAAGAATTCCCCAAAGTGTTTAGGTCTCAGTCCTCAGTGAAGGCGTATGCAAAATCTCTGTATTTTATGATCCTTACACTCCAGCCCTTGAAGAGCAGTCAGTGGCAGGGTGGTCACAAGAACAGCTGATGCCTCTATTGAGGCCTTTGGGAAAGACCTGGGACTGGGAGAGAGTCCTATTGAATCTTAGGGGATCATAGTTATGAAAAAGTTAAGTTTTATTCTAAAGGCATTTTGCATAAAACATAACTCTAGTGAGTTCCAGAAGCCTGTTAAATAAATGATGCTCCCATGTGTGGTGACCTCATTTAACATGGAGACACAGCTTGTACTTCCCTTCCTGTCTGAACAGGCTGCAGTGAACAATAATCCTATCAGGAGAAACCAAAGTGCATGATGCTTAGATCTGCGACAGCTGGGGCTCTTCGGAGCCCCATGACAGCCCAGCAGAATGCATAGCTGGTCTGGCCATTTTTCTCAGCTGTGGACATAGTCTCTTGGCAGATTTTCCTGGCAGATTGCAGGGGCGGAGTAGTTGGAGTAGACAGTCATTTCCGTGGGATCCCTGGAAGCGGTTTTCTGCCTACCCCTCCTCAGTGGATCTTGTGATCCCTTGAAGGCTTTTTTTTTTTCAAAAGCTCTAAGGCAGCTTCTTAGGTGGAGGAGTAAACCTGGCAGACTACTACTGGTTCACACATTTTCTGTTTGTGAACATGACCAGATCCTCTCCATGGAATGCTCACACTCAGCTCAACAGACCTGGGCCAGAAAAGTGCAGAAGCTTGGCTGGAAGGGTGGTTGAATTACTCATTCAGCGGCTGCCTCCTAAGCAACTAATACCTGAACTGAGCAAGAAGACCATTCTGTTGGCCTTGGGAACTGCACGGCCTTGCTGCAAAGGCTGGATGTGTCTGTACCAACACTATATAGTTAGAGCCAGACAGTGTGAAATGCTTGGCAGGGGCCCCAGCGTAAGTGGTGGTCAAGGTCTGGGCCTGGTATTTCCAGGTTTGGGCATCTTGTTCAAGAGTGAAATAAAGGCATACACAGAGCTGCAAGTAGCAAGAATACTTTATTCCAAGCAAGTGACAATGCAGATTAGAAAGGAATACACTATCAAGACTGACAGTGGCCCAGAACTAAAGGTAAAAAGGGCCCCAGGTTACTGCCTGGGCTCAGTGTGGGTGGAGGTCCTAGGTTGCTAGCAGGTTGCTAGTTGCATTATTTAGA